AGTAATTTCTGAAAGTATTGTTAACCTTGTTTTGGACATCATAAAGCAGAAATGCAGGGAAGGCTAGTCACATAGCAAGTCAGTTACAAAGGAAGGAATAAAATCCATATCTGCTAAGTGCAGATTCTTGTGCTCTTTTCTCATATCTATCATTAATTTTGTAATTCTCAAATTGATTTACAAGTCAATTGCAAACTTTGTGGCAGTTTACAGAACAAAATATTTTATATTCAGCAACCCAAACTAAATTAAGAACAGGAATCAGATATTTAGACAAGGAATAATTTCTGACAAGTTTAGTCTTACAAAGTGTCCTGAAGACATAAAAATATTGGCTACCAGAGGGCAATGTACCTGGCGCCTATAATTTAGACATGAGTTTTAGGACAGTCACACTTGTTCCTGATACTAATTTACATTCCCCAGTAACACACAGAGAATATTTATGCCTCCAACAAGATGTTTTCTGTCTTTGTCACTATCCACCGTCGTTAACAAAACAAATAAAGGCAAAGTTTTGTTGATACAAAACTATTTCCCCTGTTATTTAAACAGATATCATACCTGCAGTAAAACTGACTATCTGAAGGCTCTGCTCTCTGAGGACCTAGATCTAAAACCAGAGAAGTCATTAGTACCTTCATAGGTATTTAATATTGAAGGTGGCATAACTAAGTCCTACCTGTAAGAAGTGAGTAACTTACCCTAGTTTGTGAAGCAACTCGAGATCTTCCAAAGCAAAGGTGTTGTATTCGAAGTATTATTTACCCCTACTGACAACCTAAAGTGAGAAAGGATGAAGAGAGAAAAAAGAGAGGAGTAAGAGAAACGTTACCCAGCTAAGACACTGTTCTCAGTTCGCCTATATATGCGTTCACTTCAACATCTAATTAGCCAGAGAGGAGGATAATTGACGGCTAACTAGAGACCCCTCTACTGGAGGGTCTCTCGGTCACCTGGGATGCCAGACCCGAGCAAAGCAACAGCTCCACCCTCATCTGGCAAATGGCTGGGCACAGGAAAGAGAGCCTAGAGGTCCGAGTGTAGCTGAGGCGGTCGGCGGGGCTCCCTGGGAAGGGGTGAAGGCGAGGAACCTCCCCCCCCAGCTGGCTGGAGAGAACGGGAATCCTGCCGCCTCAGCAGCTCGCCGCCCGGCTCTGCGGCCCGTTGCCCTTAGCGAGGAGCCGCTTCGCTTCTCTCCACCCACACACCGGCTCCTCGCGTGCGGCCGCCGCTGCTTTCCCTCGCTTGGATTTGAACTACCCGCCCTTACCAACCGCTGCCGCGCCGCCTCCCCAGCCCCCGCCGCGCTGCGGCCCTCGGCGGAGCGGCGCCGCCTTGGGGCGAGGGCAGGCTGGGAGCTTGAGGGGGCCGGCTCCGCCGAATGGGAAATTCCGCTCCTCCAGGTCGCCTTTCTCCTCACGGTTTACGCTTCAGCCCTGCGGCCCCAGCCCACCATTAAAAACACCCCTGCGTCGTTCCTCCCCCGCTCCGCTTCTTCTCAGGTGCCTGAGGGCGAAGCTTTCCCGCCTCTGTGAGAGCCCCCTCAGCTCCCTGCCAGGGGGCGTTAGGGCTGAGGGGCGGCTCCGGAGGCGCTAGGCAATCACGGCTCAGCCAACGGTTTTTTACAGATAATGAATCTTATGTGCACCACAGCCTTCAAGCTGGAGTTACAAGGGTGCTAATTAATTAGAGTTAACGAGTATGTTTGCACCCGACGGCCCAGGAACAAAACGATCACAGAGCGTTTGTCAAGTGCCATCTCCTTTAAATCACCTGTCAATTGAGTGGGAGATGTCCTGTGATGTCACCTAATTTTTGCTTTGGTTTTAGTTAATCTGTATATATATATATATATATATATAAGAATACTCAGGTGCCTGTTTTTCCTGAGCTTGGTAAGGATAACATGGGGCTACACACACTCACCTACTTGCTGGCTTCAAACAGGTGGGGGATGACCTTAGAGCAGCCGCCCCAGGGGGAAGCAGGCACTTGCCACACAGGACTATAGGAAAGGCCAAATAAATAATCGTTGTGTTCTCCTTCTGCTGGGTATTGTTTTCCTTCACCTCACTAATATAACACCCCAGGTTATCTCTAATTTTTCTGGTTATTTCTCCGATTACACTTCCAGTTTCCTACCTCTACCAGATCAATGTCAGATCTGAAGGTGAGATGTAAAATCATTGTATGTGACTGTAAAAGCAACACCTACATTTAAAGAAATGCTGAAATGACATAACCTAGTTCCTGTAGGTGAGGTCTGGCAAGTTTGCAGCCTTCCCCTTTGGCAACTCCTCCAGCCTTTCACAGCCGCCCCGGTGGGTGGGCAGGGGGCAGCGGCAGCTGGCAGGATGAGGGGGGCCTGAGGAAATGCGAACCTGTCCAAAACCGGGGGTAACTGTGACGTTTTTAGGTAAAGAATATGTGACTGCAAGGTAACAGTTGCGGATAAAAAGATAAAGGCTCTTGGGGTATCTTCCCCTTCCTTTTATCATCTACTGCAAACGAACCAGAAGACATTATTTTTAATAGTTGTGTTCATTTATAAAATAAATTACCTTTTCTCTGAAATTAGCGGCTTGCTAGCTCCTTCAAGTGGGACACAGCAGCTGCAAATTCTGTTTCACTCAAACCCGGATGGACTTATGTGACTTGGATCAAAAATATCCAAGAAATGTAACAAGTTGTAACTGTAGCATTTAATGCAATATACAGAACCACCACACCAAAAAAAAAAAAAAATTAACAAAAAGCATCGCAAACAAACAATTAAAAAAAAAAAAACAAAACAACCAACCAAAAAACCAACAACAACAAAAAAACAAACAAACAAACAAAAAAAAAACTGAGCATATTGCTTCTAAACAAACAAAATGAGGTAAGGCAGCCTGCAATAGACTCACGCTGTGCTCGGCTACGACTGCATTTCCTTCCCATCTGAAAATGACCCCCGCACCTCCCCACCTCGCCCCACAAGCCTTTCCTCACGCTTTCCTACCAGTTCCCTAGGAGCTGTTTCATTTTACGGGACCGTGGAGATCACCCCCATAGTCCCAATCCTCTCCTACTCTAAGTCCAAGGAGCATCTTTAGGGCTAGCGTTCATCAGCCCGTCAGAATGGGGTTTTACTGTTAAAGCGCTCCTCTCGAAGGAGGCGGGATTTATCAGAAACGGCTAAAGTAATCGAAGCTTTAAGATCCGGTAAAACATCCTCTTTTTCCAAGGGAACAGTTAAAAGATGCCAATAAACAAGCAATTATAAGTTTTCTTTCTTAATAACGGAGACCTCGTTTTCACAGAATTAACTTGCTTTTTCATGGCAGTATTATTAGTAAGTCCTTCTAAAATTATTGGTCTGACAAACGCATTTTAAAATACAAAACGAGCCTGGGGAAATAATATCAGTTGGGTTTTATTTTTTTATTTATGAGATGGTAATTACTTAGCGTGCATTTACCAGGAAAGGTAGGGTTCAGGCTTTTTTTGCTCCTCTGCTTCAAACTCTTGATTCATACCCGCACCTCCGAAGACCGTGGGGGAGGAGAGGACGCATATATGCCACGGGGAAGTCAGAATCGGGATGAATAGCTCTGCTTTTCACATACCGTTTTTCTCGCATTTGCTTTATTCTGGCACCCCAATAATTATATTTAGCATTATTTATATGCTGCAGTACAGAGAAACAGGTGAGTTGTCTAAAATCATTACTGTATTTTCGTTACTTTTAACTTAAATACAAACTGCAACTATTTATTATTCCTCAGATTTATTTTATATAAGATATAGTTCATGTATGAAGGTGAGTTGCTACTACGAGAACATCATTACTACACATTTGCTACTACGAGAACGTACATTACAACTGATAAAACCTCATACGTATCAATGCGTTTGGTTGCTTGGAAAACAATTATTTATTAAGTATTCGGAAACAGAAAAAGAAATACCTTTCCTTAAACTATTGAACCTTTTGAATGATTAAGTCAATTAAATTAGCATGCTCGCAAAGCACAGTACTTGTTAAACGGAGCTTGCCAGGAACAAAGCAAAGATAGCTAATTCGACAAAATGCCGATCTCAGACCCAAAATAAAAACCCGCCCGTGGGGTGTAGGCGGTGGCCGGGAGAGCCGCCGCAGCGCTCCGTGGATCGGCGCCCACGGGCACCCACGCCATCACCCGAGCTTCTTTCAGTACTCGACTTTACGCTTACAATATGTGGTATCGCGGCTTGTAAATTCGGTTTAATACGTGCACATACCATACCACACCCACAAGATTAAAATACCGAAACGTGGGGTTTATCCATGAATGTTAGGTAAAACGCCTCTGAAAAAGGAAAGGACCTTTAGGTGCGTAAAGCTATAAAGAACATCAGGATGCACACTGCAACTGTTTCTATTTAGGTACTCTTTGGTATAACGATTGTGCATTCTTCGTTATTAAAACACCGAATCTTCAAAAACAAGTAAAAAAAAATCACTGATGCCTTTTCTTTACCTCTACAAATGTAAACACCTCGGCAGTTTAAAACTCCGCAGCCATTGACCAGACCCGGCACCGGGTATTCTTTTTCCCGTGTATGTACAGCAGGTCGGGTACAGCCAAATAAAAATACCGAGTACGTTGGTTCTTATTTTATTTAACCATGCAGCTGCCCGCTTTCCTCTTAGGAAACTGGCGCTGCTATTCATATGAAAGTGTATATATTAAAAAAATGCCACCTGCACTTTTTTTTTTTTCTTTTCTTTCAAAGCGGTTAACAGCGATAACGAAATATTTATTACTTTCTCAACCGAATTATTCAGCGGGGAGGAGGTCGGGCCGGGGCCCCGGTGCCGGTGCGGCGGGGCCCCCACACGGTTCCCGCCACAGGCTCACGCTCCCGTTAGCCCCTGACGGCGGCGGCGGCCCAGGCCCCGCCCCCGCCGGCGCGCGGCGTGTCGTCATCGGCCGGCGCCGAGGAGGCGGGGAGGCCGGCGGCGGCGGTGGTACGCGGGGGGGCGGGGTGCTGTATTTGGGGATTTTTCGGGCTCTTCCCTTTGGGAGCCGGTGGTCTCCCTCGCTGCAGGGGGGGCGGCGTGGTCGTGGCAAACAGGTAAAGGCCCGGCCCGGCCCGGCCCGGCCCGGCCTCGTGGGCTTCCCTCCCGCGTAAAAACTCCGCGGGGCGGTGGGGGAGGCGCCGGTGCGGAATTGGGGCGGGCTGAGGGGGCCCGTGGGCTGTGCGGCAGGCCGCCCGCCCGCCCGCCCGCCTGCCTTCCTTCCTTCCTTCCTCCTCGGGCTCTGCGGGACGTGAAGGAGCGGGTTTGCCTCTCTTAAAGGTACCCGTGGCGTCCTCGACACGAGTGGCGTGGCCGGCGCTCCGCGTCGCCGCGGAAGGTAACGGCTGGACTCCAGTGCCCAGGGGTGCGCCTGGGTGCCTCTGGGCTCTGTCAGCTGCGCAGTGCTCACGGGTGCAGGGTACGTGAAGGCCGGCGGAACCAGGGCACCTCCCTGCAAAATACACACCCGTGGGTCGCTGTTGTCTCTAGCAGCTGCGTTATTTTGCTGCATTAGCAGCACCAGCTCAAGTTACTTAGCTGCAACTGTGGTCTTCCTTAGTTCAGTGCTCTGGCTTAGAAGGTGCTGCAGTTTTCGAGTGCTAATGAAGGGCTGTTAATATCTAACTGTAATGTATTGACGCAAAAAGACTGTAGCATACATGGATCAGGGTGCCACTATGAGCATAAACCTTACTTGAAAGCTGTAGAATTTAATGATTTATCGGCAGTTCTCTCAAATGGAGTGGCATAATGGGGATTTTAACAAGGTGGTTTGTCAAGTGCTGATCAGACTCTCTTAAACAAAGGATGAACTATTTATGTCAAGCCTATCCTTCTGTTTTCAAGACCCTAGTTTTTCCCAGTTGAATTTATACTGAAACAGACTGAAGATAAGGGAAATAATCCTTACTGTGATATTAAGCAAAAGCATCCGAGAGTCATGCTCATAGAAAAGCATCATGAATGCTGTTCACTAGCATATGGGATAGGGATTCTTGTCTTCTGTGTCAGGCAGAACAGTGACACAAAAAGCAGCAACCTCAAAAAAACTACAAGGAGATATTAGTGTTCTGGTCTAGACTTGCATTGGGTGGGAAAAAAAGCATGTACTGTCTCTCTGGTGATTACAGTAACAGCCTTAAAATTTACAGTTGCAACTGTATTTATGTGTTAGGATAGAATTTTTTAAAGCTTTGTAGAATGTGGAATATATATAACTAGTCTGATGCTGTGAAAAAATACTTGTTTCCAGATAAGTCTGAACAATCCAAATCATTACAGGGCACGAAGAAGTGTTTGAAGAGTACTGCTGAGTTACCAGACTTTTGATCTGTTTGGTAATCATTCGCACCTATACTAGAATTTTGAGGGTGGAATTTCTTCCCTCTGGCCCCTCATTGTTTTGTATGTTTGTTTTAATTCCTATTACTCTTCTACCCACAGTCTGTTCTTAGGATTTCTCATCCCTGAGATCAATGGAAAGGTAGATTAGGTTAGCTAGTGTTGCATCAGAGGGGAAAAAATATAACAAGGCTTATATTGTTTATGATAGCATTGTTGTTACATGAGAGATAGATAAGAAATTACTTATTTTTATGTTTCTAGAAAGGAAATTCTTACCATTGCCAGGAAAGAAAATACTATTAATTTGGCTGTAATGTTTAAAATCCTGTTTAATAGAAAATGTTGGGCCATCTCTATCTTTGGAGGTTTCTGTACTGGATTGGTAAAGGTCTGAGAAACCTGATGTTACTTTAATTTTGAGAAGTTGAACTAAATGACTGTCTGAAGTCTCTTCTAACCTGAATTATCCAGTGTCCTGTATATCAAATACAGATGGAATTTGTTTGTATTTACTTTTAACGGAGTTCTTAATCTTCTGTTAGCTTTAGATTGAGAGATTGAAATGATTGTGTATGCCTTGAAAAACTAATTTAAAAAAAAAATACAAAACCAGAAACAAACTCATGTGCATGTTGTGTGTTTTTTTGGTTTAGAACATGGATTCACAGAAGGATGTTCAGCCTCCAAAACAGCAGCCAATGATTTACATTTGTGGAGGTAAAGAAAAGGCATCGGTCAATTTTTTTCACTTGTTACTGGAAGTTTGGTGTTTTAATAATGAAGAATGCATAATCATTATACTGAAGAGTACATAGTTTCAGCGTGCATCCTCATGTTCTTTATAGATTTACACAGCGATGGTAATACATATATGGGGTGTCTATGAATAGTGATGTGGAAGTAATTCACTAGAGCATGTGTTGCTACGTGGAGGTCCTCCATCTCCAGAGGATGCTTTCTCTAAGTGTCTGTGGTGCAGATAGGTGGACCTTCCATTTAGTGCATCTTAGAGGTTTTTTTGAAAATGTATGGTCACTCAGCTTTTATTGAAGTGTGGTAGTCAAATTCTCTCTTACCTATGGATAAGTCAACAACTTAAAAATTGGTGATTTTGAGTCATCATTTCAGAAATCTGTGAAATATTTTGTCTTTCAATAAAATATACCTGGGGCTTTGTGGGGCTGAGCTGCAGTTTTCATTAGTAGACAGTCTAGTTGTATCAAGAGTGAAATGTATTCTGTGCAGTAATAATTTGTTGATTTTTAGCAAGATCCTCTTTGATCTTAATATAAGTGAAGTTCGCTAACTTTTTTTTTGCACAGTATTTTGATATTCAGCTCTTGTTACAAAATTAATACAATTATTTTTTATTGTGTGTGTTTGTCACAAATAGGAATTTGACTGTTACAACTTTAGAAAGCTACCTATGCATTAACGATGCTGGTTTTGTTTACCCACTCCCTTTATCTTCTTCCATCACATCAGAATGTCATACAGAAAATGAAATAAAGGCGAGAGATCCTATCAGATGCAGAGAATGCGGCTACAGAATAATGTACAAGAAAAGGACGAAAAGATGTATCCTTTTACATGTGCACTTCAGTGCATTTGGGAAGCTGTCAGTGGAGAGAAGGTATATAAGGGAAACAGAGTGGAAGATTTGAGTAAATACGTAAGAATCCTTCAAGGTCAGAAATCAATACAGTAGAGCCAAGTACTATAGGAAAATCTCTGCAGTGTGATTGGGCACCTTGTTTTCTTTCCTGTCACTTTCTCTCTTTTTTTTCCATTTTCTATGCAAAATATAATAAGATATGATAGTCTGTTGTGTGACGTACTGTGAATTGTTGATACTATTCATCCTTTTAAGAAAAGGAAAGTGTTGTGGTGTTAACTAAAGATGAGTTTTTAAATACTTGTATGTAGCTAGTTGTGACTTAAATATAGATAGTCTCTTCCCCGTGCTTCAATCTTTTTTCTCCCTGATCTTTTTCCAACCACTACACATTTTTTTTCCTTTAACTGCAGTATTCCAGTGGTGGTTTTTGATGCCCGATGATGTCTGCTGAAGATACAGTGACTTAATGATGCAGTTTAATCTGATAACTTTGCTCTGTAAATCTGTTTGTGTACAAATGCACACTCTTATTTGTCTTTTAAGAGATTGACATATTAAAGTTTATTGTGATACTAAATTTTGCCTATATTGTCTTATAGCAATATATTTCCAAAGCTGTTGTTTAAATTGTAGTCAGAGTATGCAGTAGTTTAAGTTTAGTGGTATTGTATTCTGAGTTAACCTTGCTTTCATTACTCTCATCTAAACTATTTGCATTTTAACTTTGTTAAATGTTCTTTGCACTCCTAGGAACTGCATAAAATAACTGTGGTTTGAATAAATTCTACTGAAAATAAATAAAGGCTACACAAGACTAGGTCTGAAACACAGATCCGAATTTCAAAAGAGCACACCTCAAAGGACTTGAGAGCACCCAATTCAGGCACCCAGTTGTGGAGGAAGTGTCAGAAAAAACATTTCTTATAAAAGAAGAGGGGAGGGAGGCAAGGTAAACATTAAGAAGCAATGTGTAAACAGAAATTCCCAAAGTGCTTATTTGTTGTACTCCAGGAAAGAATTAGGTCTGTGCTATAAAGTATGAGTATACTTGGGTAGCATCGCAAAACTAAAATAGCATCTTGTTTTGCTTTTTGGGTGAATTCTCAGGGGTCTGTGATAAAAAGATCAAAGTGGTTGTTTTGTATTGATGAGTCAAAACTTTTTGCATCTGTCTGGAATGTGTGTTAAATAATACTAAAATATTCTTGCCACTAAAGTGGACTCCAAAGTACTGCTGGACTGTGATGCTAATTTAGTCTCCATAAATGCTTCCAAATCTCAATTTTGATGGTAGTAATGATGCTGTTAAGATAACGTATTTAACTCTGATCATTATAGTAAGGTATCTTTGTTACAGACTGCATGACAGCGTACTGGCTCATAAATGAACCGCAATAGGTAATTTTATGAGATAAAAAAGCATTATTGAGATTTTGTTTTGGAAAGGTTTGTGTAAGATTTTCTTAGGTGCCTTACCAGATCTCCGCTATTAAGACATTTCTTATCTAGGTTTTCCTTTGAAAGCCAGATAGACTTGAGTATAAGTAACATTTTTACTACACAGTTGCTATCAGTTTGTTCACCAGGCTGGCATGCTGTTGTGGTTTAGGCGCATAGCGTGTACCTTACACCTGCACAGCAGAAACAAGGGAGCTGCTGTTGGCGGGACTGCTCAGAAGGATGAGCTAAAGAGTTGCTCACTGAGGGCAATACCAATGCTACAAAAGGTCTGGTGGGACTAAGGGACGGGTTTGGCAGGGCTGTGGACAGCGGGGGCGCCTATTTCTGCCAGTCAAATGCAGAGAAGAGCAGCTGCTGCCACCAGGCAGGGGTGCAGACCTGCTTTAGGAATCAGTGCCGGGGTCAATGTAGGGCTAACGAGTTGTTGTAGGCACCCGGGGGGAGCGGCGGTGGGAGGGGGACGGATTGTTCTAAGCTAAATAAAATACTACACTGAAAGCAAGCCGCACCCCAAGTGCGAGATTTGAGCCCCTCAGCCCTGACCGCGCAGCCCGCCCTCCGCCACGGCCCAGCTGCGCCTGCGCGGCGGCGGCCCCTCCCCGGTTGCGTCGAGGGCCTGGCCGCGTCTGTCTCCCGGAGAGAGCGCGGCGCCGGGCAGGTGGGTAGGGAAGTCCCCCACGCTGCGGCGGCAGCAGCAGCAGCAGCAGCAGGAGCAGCATGGCCGCCGGGGCTCTGTGGGAGCCTCGCCAGGGCGTCGCAGGGGAAAGGCGGCCCCGTGTCCGCACCGTCGTCCCCCGCTGCCCGGCCGCTCGCCTGGGCGCGTCCGTGCGCGCCGCCGGCCGCCATGTTGTACATAGCAACGGTCGCTAGGCGCGGGCTGGGGCCTGAGGGGAGCCTCGGGTGTCGGGCGGAAGGTAAATTCCCGGTAAATTCCTGATTCCGCGGGCTGAGCGAAAGCCGTGTGGTCAGCGGCCGCGGGGAGCCGCCCGGAGGAGCGGAGCGGAGCGCGGTGCTGCCTGAGAGCTGCTCTGGGCCCGCCAGGGAACCCCCTGCTCCTAACAGACGTGGAAACACTGAAACAGGAAAAAATGGTGCAGTTTTGCTATGAGTGTCCCTCTTGCTTTTTCCTCCTGTCTGAATATTTCCTGTATTCATCTGTCTCTCCATGCGTGTTCGTTCTTTTCCTGTAGTGAAACTATAAATTATTGGGGCAGAATCCTATCTTTATGCGATACCTAATTATGACCTGTTAAATTTAAGTGATGCTGCATTGTAAACACTTTTGTGCAACTACAAATTAGGTGTAGTTATGCTAGACATTAGAACACAATTATTTTAATTGGCTTTATATTCATGCATAGTTGTTACCACATACTAGTTAGCTGCCCTTATCATACTTGTTAAAAATAAGCAGTATAAAACATGGAGGAAAAAAAAGAATATCTGCTCCACAGAGCTTGGAATCAAAATAGAGAAAGATGCACATAATCAGAGACAGGAACTGTCTTAATTTCAGCACCTCACTTCATCAGTTACAGGCTTGCTGGAAAAGATTCAGTTTAGTACAGTAATATAATCAGGGGCCCAGAAAATGAAGTTAGGGAGGAATGACAAACAATTGGATTTATTTTGGCTACAGAGAAGGCAAATGTTATAATTCCATTAAATACATTGAGTTGTTTAGCATCCTTCCTCAGAAAAAAGTAGTGGGTCCTGCACCATCTTCTCTTTCATGCCCATCACACTTACTTAAAATAGGCAATACCATATAGTGTTTAAAGAAAAGTAGAGAATGTGGTAGGCAGAATTTGGCAATTTTTCTTTAAGCAGTCTTTCTGACTTGTTCTGCCTTGCAGTAGATTTGTACATATTATTTTTCCAAAACATGTCTCATATATAACCATACTTCTGTCAGTAAACCTCCATCAAGAACAGTTTATATGATCAAGTCTTCAAATTTGAAATTTTGTGACAATAGGTCTGCTTGCATAACGGAGTAGTACTTTGGAGCGTGAGCTGGGTCATTCCTTAAATTAGCATTGCTTCAAAATATAACTAAGTGCCTCCAGAATCACTATATTTTTTTTCTTTTAATATTTAGTTATGGGTGATGAGTCAGTACCATTTTTTCTGGACCAAGGAACCACTAAAACATACCAAATACCTATTGGTCATCTAGACTACAAGTTCATTGAAAAATGCACAGATATTAAGCACCTGGAAAAGATTCTCAGGGTATTAAGGTAAGCATTGTATTTTTTTTTATTTTCATTACTAATTATATTCCTGTTCTGTAAAGTTCAAAGGAACCCATACTGAAATACTCTGTTTGGCTTAAACCTCTTTGTGACTTTCTAATTTAAAAATTAAAATACAAAGTTAAACGAATCATGTTAAAAGTGTCTAATGGTAACACTAGAAATCCAAGTCCTGTTTTAACCATCCAAAAGGTTTGATTAACTAAATGCCAGGCTTTTCTCAAATGCTGCTGCTGTATTTTGGTTCTGTCATTAAGCCATCTTACTTGCCTGTGGTAATTTCAGATGCCATACATGTTTAACTGTTGCTGAAAATTACATGAGCGATTTTTTTGTGAGTACTGTGGTGATAATTTTGAACTGTGCATGTGTGTTCACTGGAAAGTGGTTGAAGGTTAACTCACTGGAATTTTCTGATCAAAATGTTACTAAGTGACAGTAGAATTCAATTATAACAGGGAAAATAGTCCTTTGCAGTCACTGTGGTGACTATACAGAGAGACTACACTTGGAGAGAAGTATGGAGGATGCAGTGCAGTTTAGTTCTTTTTTATCACTTTTATATATTTGCATTTTAAAGGTCTGGTGAAGAGGGATGTTATCCAGAACTTACATTGTTTTGTGAAAAGCGTATTGAGCATTTAGATCCAAGGAACAGAGCTCTCAGAAAAGATAAGCCTGCAGCCACAGCTTCTGATTTCACAGCTGAAGAATGGGAAACAATTAATGGTGAACTGATGGTACAGTATAACTAATTTATTATGGTCAGTAATGCAGTCACTTTGGTGTATCAATTTTCATCTTCTTGTGCCTAAGTAGAATGTAATTTGATTAAATGAGGAAATGATCAAAGGATTATGTTGGGGTCTTTAAAATTAGTTTCTTGAATTAATGTCACTGGATCTTTAATGGCCATTTTAACTCTACAGATTTTTTTTTTTTTGTAGCTTACTTTTTATTCAAAAAAGCACAAATGCTTTTTTTCTTAATTGCTTTTCCCCATTAAAAGCATTGCATTATAGGGATAGTTGTTAGGGTCACTGAAGAGTATGAAGTATATCTGCTGTGCTGCTTTAAGGTACATATATTTATTTATTTTCAGAGCTGGGTGACAGAAATGAATGAAGATGAAAAGAAAACACAGTTCCTGAGAACAGACAGATTGCATGAAAGACAAGATAACTTGCCTCCTGTTCGTTGTTCCAGCAGCTGTCTTCCTGCTAATCAGGTATCTCCAGTTTTCTGACATATGTTAATTACATGTCTTTCTAAAATCGGGAAATTTTATATGTACAAACTTCTAGTCATTGAGCCTTTCTTACCGGATTTATTCTGTTAATCAGAAAATAAAACCTCTAAGTTCCATTGCAGGAGACCAATGCTTAAACAAAAGTGCCTCCATAGTCCTAGCACGTGTCTTTTAACAATGTTTTAATTTTGATCAGGAATTCACTTCTGGAGCAAATCTCCTTAAACACCTGTTTGATGTTCTTTGATTCACATTTTAAGTGGCCTTTAAGCATATAAATCAGGTTTCTTTTGAATGAAATTATGTCAGGAGATTTTCTGCAGCTGCTAATAGGCTTTTGTTCCATGAGACCAGATGGGAGCTAGTCCAAAATATATACTCAGAAGCACATACAGTGTGGGTGTTGGACTTTCCACCAGCTGTTTCACTCTACAGCCACTTCTGTATTGGGCTGCACTGGTACATACATAGTGTTTGATTCCCCTTCCTTTATAGCTTGAGTTGGTATTCCAGCTTTAGCCTTAATGCATACTTCCTAATTTAGCCATAAAGCATACTTAACAGATCTTCATAACTACAGCATACCTTTTTCCTAGGTATTAGTTTCCT